GGGGGGGGGGATAATTTAGAGAGCCTAGAACGAACAACATGCATAAATTATAGAGAAGAACTTGAAGTAGCAGCTTTGATTTCCTTTCCCACCTTTCTGCTTCCTTTGTGTTAAGTAACTCTGAACCTGTTTGTAAATCTTGGTTGTGGCTCCTTGCTCACTTGCGTACTCCAGGGGTACCCAGCATTTTAAACATGTGGGCACCTTTGGATTCTGACATGGGGTGGTGGGCACAACCACAAAATGGCCACTGTGAGAGGCAGAGTCCTAGAAGAAGCCCAAAGAATTTTTTAAAAATATATACTGGGAAAGGGGGAGTGAGAAAGAGAATAAAACCAGCACTGTAGTGGCAGCTGTCAATCAGGTCTCAAATGGCTAATCAGAAGCCTTGCTGGGCAGGAGCCCCACCCACTGTCTAGAAACACTTGACGGGTGCGAAGACATCCATGGGTGCTGCATCGGGAACCCCAGTATACACTACTGTGAACCTTGGTTTGCCTAGCACATAATGTGTGAAAGCACCCCAGCCGTCTGCCCATACAGCGCGTCTACATCTTGCTGTTTCCTAATGGGTCTTCTCCTTTTTCTTCAGATGTTTGGTCAGCAGGCTGCGTACTGGCAGAACTATTACTAGGACAACCAATTTTCCCAGGGGACAGTGGTGTCGATCAGCTGGTGGAAATAATCAAGGTATGGACGTGTTGGTTTTCCCGGACATAATTTTGAGGTGTAAACCTTGACGGTGCTAATTTAATTTAATTATGGACTATTGTCGTGGCTTGTGTGCCTGCACAGAAGACCACTCTATGAACAACAGTTACAGGTAAGCGCAACCCGGTTTTTGTGGAATGCATGCTACAGGGGTTGTGTCATTCTTCATTTTTAATCGTCCATGGAGGGAATATTAGCTTGGCTTTCGTAGTAATAAAAACCTGTGGAAATAACTTGTGGTGGGTGGACTCAAATTCAGGAGGCTCAGCCTTCAAGTTCGGGGTTGTGTGGAAGAGGAGAACGTGTAAAAGTGAAAAACCAGGAACGTTTGCTACTCTATTGGTGGTGGTTTTCTCCTTTTCTGTCAGACGGGACTGTGTTTCAGCTTCAGCTAGAATAATTTATGTGTAAAATCCGTGTCCAGCCATCCCTGCACAGAAACATGACTAGTTTGTGCGTGGCACAGTGAAATTTCATAGGCAGAATGACGCATGAACACATGAAGCTGCCTTATTCTTAATCAGACCCTGGGTCCATTAAGGTCCGTATTGTCTACTCAGACTGGCAGAGGCTGTCCAGGGCCTAAGGGTGAGGTCTTTCACATCACTTACCCTTGATCCATTTAGCTGGAGATGCCAGGGGTGGCGCCTGGGTCCTTCTGCATGCCAAGCAGATGCTGTACCACTGAGCCATGGTCTTTCCTCTGAAATTAGACAGATCCCGGCTTACAAACAACTCTTCATCTGGAACTAAGCAGGAGAAGACTGTGAAAGAGAGGTCCAGTGCTACCAGCGTGTGTATCCTGGTTCCATAGCTCTGTGAATCAGAGTCCGTGTCCACGTTCCTTTTGCCATCCTGTCCCAAATGCTGCAGATAATTGGGGAGAAAAGCAGGGTATACATTAAGTAAGAAGAAGAAGAGATTGGATTTATACCCTTCACTACCCGGAGGAGCCTCAGAGTGGCTTACAATCTCTTTTCCCTTCCCCACAGCAGACACGCTGTGAGGTAGGTGGGGCTGAGAGAGCTCTTCTGCTCTTTCAAGGACAGCTCTTATCAGAACTATGGCTTGCCCAAGGTCATCCAGCCCAGGTGCAAGTGGAGGAGTGGGGAATCAAACCCAGTTCTCCCAGATTAGAATCCGCGCACTTAACCACTCCTCCAAACTAAATAAATAAATTTTATTGCTGTCTGGTAGCAAGGTATCAGGAGTTCTCATTTCCTATTTTTTTAAGGTCCTTGGAACCCCTACAAGAGAACAAATTAGAGAAATGAATCCAAACTACACTGAATTTAAATTTCCTCAGATTAAGGCACATCCATGGACTAAGGTGAGTCTTTTTAAAAAATAATAATGATGCGGGGGGGGGATATATATGTATATGTATGTATATACATATAACTCTCAGGTCTTTACGTTCATTTTCACAAGTAGTAAAACTGAACCAAGATGCATTCATAGCCAGTGTTCCCTCTAAGCTGAGTTAGTGTGAGCTAGCTCACAATTTTTTAGCCTCCGGCTCACACATTTTTGTCTTAGCTCAGGAAGGATGGCTCCAGAGCAAACTAATTGATGCAGTAGCCAAATCGCTCACTCACAACTGTAATGCCAGTCGCTCAAAAAGTGGAATTTTTGCTCACAAGACTCCACAGCTTAGAGGGAGCATTGGTCATAGCCCTGTAAACTGTCACTGTGCATTATTTCTCCATGTCTAGAGATTGGATTTTTTTAACTTCCCCAGCAGAGTGTGTATTACAGAAAAAGGATATGCCTGGAATGTTTTTTAGCACAGAGCCAAAAGATCTTACTACATGAGCGAATGGCACTCCTTAGTCATGCAGGGCAAGGTGTAGACTCCCCTCCCCATTTCTCTAGCTGCCTGCCGCTCCCAAAAAGCTACTCTGGAGGGTATCCCAAACTCCTTTGGAGCTAGATTTTGAACCCTGGAGCACTCTTACATTTATGAGTGGAAAGGCCTTCCATTCATGCAGCAGGGTCTTTGGATCCAGGGTTCTGTTCTTCATGGTCAGCGTGTGTGAGGAGTTCCATGTAAATATAAAGGAGGGAGGGGACTCTTTCTTGAAGCACGTCATGTGGTGAGCAGGACTGTTCCTATCTCTTAACTAAGAACGAGGGTAAATGGTTATATAATTCAGTACATAGTCCATGATTATCAGTTATCTCAACTAACAAGGAAATAATTAGTGCATAATACATTTTGAAGCTAAGCTGCTTCTGTTCATGAGAAGATTGAAATGCAAACCTTACCATTTGTATTGTAACAAGTCTCTATCATTTCTTTTGTTTGCTCAGTACCGTACTCAGAGTTTGTATGCCTCTGCCCCCATGCCCCAAGCAAAATACGGACTTTGCCGTTGGTATGGTCAGGGTGGCGAGGCTGTGCCTTCCCAGGAAGCAGTGCCAGGAAAACTGTCCTTGGGATATTCCCTGCTAGCTCCCTCCCAGTTAGATTTATGTCGGATGGTAGGATTAGTTTGCAACCCTTCTGGCCTTGGGAAACAAAAACCAAATTGGGGCGGGGAAGGTCTGAGTTGCAACCCTTCTGGCCTTGGGAAACAAAAATTGGGGCGGGGAAGGTCTGAGCGGATGACTCCCTTCGGCAGAAGAAGGAGATGCTCCATATGCAGTGACACAATATGGGGCTGTGTTCCTGAAGGATTCTCTGTTCCCAGAGCGGCCAGATGGAACTGCGTGGCACTGTTTGTCCCCCACAGAAAGGCCAAGGGTCCCAAGCACAACCACAAGGAACAGAGGTGGCCTCAAGGTCTGAATGCACCTTATGCCAAAAACAGCATAGAGCAGGGTCCTTCTAAAGTCCTCCCCTGCCCTTCCTTCCAGTCACCTTTTGCAGTCCCCTCTGTCTGGTGTCATTGTGTGGTCGGTGCAGTTAACCATACAAAGTGTCTAAAAAAATCAGAGCAGCAACTGCAGTAGCCATTTGACTTCAGCTTGGAAAAAAATCAGAGCAGCAACTGGAGTAGCCATTTGACTTCAGCTTGGAACGCCCACGTTCTCAAGTCTCTGTTTAGGATGAAAAGGGGGACTCTGGCCTTACGGAGGAGCAGCCATCTGGAGGACTCCAGCCGCAGGGCCTTTAGTAGCAAGGGAAGGCTGGGACATCAAAAAGGAGGGCTCTGCCTTGGAGACCTCCTTCTTCCGTGGGGTGGGGGGTAACCATGATAGAGTTGGTGATCCATCCCAAATTGTCCTTCCTTCCTTTCTGCTATCGGCGCCCACCGGCATTACCCCTAGGGGTGATGCTCAGGGTCTTAAAGAAAATGTCGATAATCCTCTGCCAACAAGAATACCTTCAGACCAGTTGTTTTCAATAACCGTCCACCTCTCTTTTCGTTGTCATTCTTGGGTCAAGATGGCTGAGCAGGGAGTGAGGTTGATAGTTCTCATGCTGTTGGAGTGTAACGATTTCCTTGGGGCTATCCACTCTAGAGTTCAGAACGGAATCTTCTTGCTGTGGCCCTGGTTGATTTATCTGGCTCTGGAATCCGTCAGGTGGCGTGTGGCAGCATTTCTAGACTTGTCTGTAGGTTTTGATAATGTCGACCATCAAATACTTTCAGGTGGTTGGTGGAGAGACACCACATTTCAGTGGTTCGGTTCCTACCTGTCTGAGCAACCCTGAGAGTAGTGTTGCAACGGCGGCGGCTGTAATCGCCAGTATTTAATTTTATGGAGTTCTGCAAGGGTTTTTTCTCCCCCCAGTTCTTGTTAATATTCAGATATTTATAGTGCTGCTGGGAGAGGGATCGTCAGGAAAACTTGGGAAGGTGATGTCATCGACATGCTGATGTTACCCACCTCTGACGATCTACCTGCATTGGGTTCCTTGAGCACCGTTCTGCTGAATTCAGGTTCACCACTGATGGCTGTCGGTCTAGGTGATTACAAGGACAAGGAGATCCTTCTTGTTGATAGAACTGCAGAAAAGCTTCTGAAATCTCTGGTGGTGGCCTTGGCCTGGGTTGCTTTTCTAGTGCTAGTTCACCGGCAGTGCCCCATCCTCGCTAGTCAAGATCACGTAACTGTTATCTGCATATAAGTAACCTTCTGGTTGGACTAATCCAACGCCTGCTATGTGGGACTGCTCTTGAAGAGAACTTGGAAACTTCAGCTACTGCGGGATGCCACAGTTTGCCTGCGGGCAAGTGTGGGCAGCAGAGGACACACAGCACTGCTTGTAAGGTTCTATCTCCACTGCCCGGTTCTCATCCAGGCCCAATTCAGGGTGCCGCAGTTTTACCCTTAAAAGTTTCAAGCATGCCCATTGCTGTTCATCTAGCCTTCAGATCACTGGATGAGCCCCTGCACCACAAGTTCATTGCACTTGTTTCACTGCCAGATTGGAGCTCATATTTCCAAAGACTTTTTACACAGTTCCGTTGGCAAGCTAGGTTGTATTGTTGATGGTAAGCTTACAGCTGTCAAGTTTTCAGTGTGGTTGGTTTTTTAAAGGGTGTTTTTCCCCTCTTGTACTTACGTTGCACTTTTGTGTTGTACATTGCTTCAGGCATTTTATGTAGTAATGGCTTAAATACACTTTTAAGTAATAAATAGTGAACTATGAGAAGAGCGTTCTGTGAACCTAGCTCAGGTTCCTCCTTCATCTCTTAGAGGACAATGTTTGGCCCAGCTTACATCCAGAAAAGAGAGGAAAAGATTATCCTGCCTAAGGAAGATTCGCCTACAATGAGGCTTCTATATTTCATGCACCCCTGAGATGCTGTGAGCTATTCCAATCAAAATACTTTTGGTGGCTGCTTTTACCCCTTCCAGAGGTAGGCTGCAAGGAGAGCCCACCTGCTAGAGAGACTCTTGCAGGAAGTCATACCACTGCTGTTCAGGTGGTCCAGAAAGCCTCAGTCCAAGCCCTGCCGGGGATCCAGGTTACCACAAGCCCAGATCTCTAGGGACACAGAGCCTGCTGGGAAATGCCAAGCTTAAGACAAGTAGCCCCAGCTGGAGGACAAGAATAACATGAACTTGTTGGAGCTTTGGTCTTTTATCCACTTGGTGTTAGACATGTTCCCATACTGATAGCTGGGTATGGCCTGCTGGTCCTGCGAGACGGTATCACAGCAAAGATAAGGAAAAGAAGAAGCCACTCAGCTGCCAAGGAGGCTGAAGTACACTTTGCTGACGTTTGAAGTGAAAGCGCATTCATCGTTTCCTTGGGCATGTGGCAGATATTTCCTCTTGCAGCCTGTGAACAGAGGCCATGCTCCAATCAAACAGAACCAGAGTCTACTGCCACCATTCGATCTTGTAGAGCATGGCACTTGGACCTTGAGGGCTGTGGGGATGGAAGAACCCTGGGTGCTCCCAAGCATGCTCCAGCTGCGCACTGGATTTGGAATGGCTCAACTGACCGCCCAGAGACAGAGGAGGCAACTGCTGGCGAGTCTTGACCTGCAGAAGCCCAGTCTTCTCCGTGTTCTGCTCATTTTCACACATCAGTCCGGTGGTTGCATTAATCACCAACCTGAAGGGCATTCCCTGGGGAGCGCCTGCGCAACTCCAGAGCGGAGCTTTTGGCCGGAATCTTGAAGCTCATGGATTTTCTCTGGAAGAGCCCGGGTTGGGATCAGACACTATGAGACGGCAGGCAGGATGGCTTTGTAGAACGTTCTGCCTAAAACTGGGGAAACCCTTCAAGCCTACTTGGTTCGTCACACCAGAGGACGTCTCCTTCAGAGTTTTGTGTTCTTGTCAGCAGTGATATTTTGTCCTGAAAGAGCTTGAAGTTGGGGGTTTCGGTGACGAGGAAGGAGGACTGTGTCTTTTGCATGGAGTGTGGTGTGAGTATGAAAGAGAGGCCCCTTGCTTATGTGTAGTGGATTCCATTCTCCATTGTTCACAGACCTTCAATGCTATTTTTTTTGGGAGGGTTTCACATCTAAGTGTGGACACTGAGGCTGTACATACATGCATGCAGTTATGTATCGCTTCTGTAACTGCATACTGAGTGGCTGCACGGAATGGTTTATACGAACACATGTGTTTATACGATCAAGTGCATCTTTCTAGCCCCACCCACACAAGCCTCTTTGTAAGTAATCATTTGGAATGCGTGCATCCCCTTCCAAACCTTATGTCTGTAGTTTCCAGTGTCCCTCTCCAAAGTATTTGTTCATGCCATCTCCCCTAGTTTTGGTGACTTGCATTATCCCGAGCAACTTTATTCAGAAATAAAGCTCAGTGGATCTTACTTGGGAGTAAATGTGCACAGCATCGTACCCCTAGAGATAAAGCACTTGCGAAGCTTTGTCCACTGTCAGTTCTGAAGGTGTTTTA